AGTTTTACTTCATGGAATATTTATAACCATAAATATAATACAAGCAGGAAGGCTAAGGGCCTAGACTAAGTGTGTGTAGGTATTCAGGGGAAGTAGAGACTATTTATAACTGGACAGATCCGGAAACCTTCATCTGCGAGGAAGCCCTTTGCCTGGACATTGAAGGATGGATAGAATCTGAATATGCAGTGATTGTTCTGGGGCTAAGGGACAGAAAAAGATGAGGATTCCTAAAACAAATAAATGGCAGGATTATTTTGATTTTCCCAAACACAGGAAAATTGTTTGACAGTAATTGCTCCTGTCCACCCCCAAAATTAACTCTCAAAGATTGACTTGGCATTCTTACTTTCGCATGAGCACTGGAAAATATCTTGCACTATTTTAGCTTATGAAAAAGCAACTGACTTTGGTAGTGAAAATATTAGAGATGTTTATTACATATGCTCACTCTTATAAATAAAGTCACTTTCACTGATCCTTAAGGAGAACCTTAAGGATCAGTGAAAGTGATTTCCTTTATTCTGAAAGCAGTGAAAAATTGAAAAGGGAATGTTGTGAGAAGAGTGCTTGAGGAAAATCAATTTTGCATCTCTGTAGAGAGAGAGAGTAGAGAAATAAAGAAAGGAGGCCATTGCTATGGCATACATGAGGGGCGGTGAAAGCCTGGATTGTGTAGTACGTCAGAGGTAGGGGGATAAATGCAAGATAGTTACAGTCAGTCTCAGAAGTTAACCTGAGTGAGGCTGCATTTGAGTAGAAATGACTGAAGAATTTTAGACTTTTAGAATAGTAATAGAAGACTTGAAGAAACCAACTCCTGCATCCCAATTTTGAAATCATTGGGTGCAGTCAAACCCCTGGATTTTACTGATAAGAAAACAGTCTCAGAGAGATAAAGTGACTTGCCCCACATTACACAGCTAATTAGTGGCAAAGTGAGGCTAGAAGTTTCTTTCCAGTTGCCTGGTCAGGTGTCTGTAAAGTTTTTCTTTGTGTTCTGGAGATGGTGTTTCACTCGTTGCCCAGGCTGGAGTGTAATGGCTCAATCTCGGCTCACTGCAACCTCTGCCTCCTGGGTTCAAGGGATTCTCCTGCTTCAGTCCCTCAGATAGCTGGGTTTGCAGGCACCTGCCACCATGCCCAGCTAATTTTTTGTATTTTTTTTAGTAGACACGGGGTTTCACGTCAGGCTGGTCTTGAACTCCTGACCTCAGATGATCTACCCACATGGGCCTCCCAAAGTGCTGGTTAATTTCCCACCAAGAAGATCTCTTAGCTCAAATGGCACCTTGTTCTCAGAGGAATAGGCTGCTTTGTTTCTAATTTTGCCACTACCATATATCAGCTGTGTGGTCTCGGTGAATTAGTCATCCATCTAAGCTTCTGTTTTCCATATCTGAAAAGTGGGGGTAATTTAATAGTATCAGAGGCTTCTTGAGAGGGTTAGACGGCATAACCCTTGCATAACCCTTGCTCCTGTTCTCAGCAGCAGGTCTAGAACATAGTGAGCACCCCTTAAGGTTGGGCTCCTACAGTCATTCTCACACCAGCAGTTATTGCCCATAATCCTATCATACGTGGTTGCTCCAATTGGCTAAAATTTTGAGAATCATTGGTAGATCTCTTGGAGTTCTGACTGATTCAGTTCCTACCTACCTAGAAAGAGCTACACTTAGCTCTTTCTGGGCCGAGTTTTCTGATCTCAGCGCTGATGAAGGATTTCTAACAGAAGAGTTGATCTTAAGCACTGATTGTTTTCTTATTGTTTATTTATTTATTTATTTTTTTCTTTTAGAGAGATAGGGTCTTGCTCTGTGGTGCAGGCTTAACTAGAATGGTAAAATCATAGCTCACTGCAGGCTTGAACTCCACAGCTCATGGATTCAAGCCATCTTCCCACCCCAGACCCCTGAGTAGCTAGGTGCATGCCTCTGCACTAAGCTAATTAAAAAAAAAATTTTTTTTTGTACGATACAGGATCTCACTTTGTTGCTCAGGCTGGTCTTGAACTCCTGGCTTCAAGTGATCCTCCCTCCTTGGGCTCTGAAAATGCTGGGATTGCAAGGCATGAGTTACCATACCCAGCCAGCACTGGCTGTTTCTAAGAGATGTGAGAACAGGCCAGTTCCACAGTGAAGGTTCCTGGTGCACAAATCACTCTGCAAGAGAACGTCATTAATGGTGGCTTCAAGGAACCCAGACCATTCATCCTCCAGGTGCAGTGTTGCTGAGAACCTTGATGACATATTCCTGGCATATGATGTCAGGCTGTGCTTTATTTTCCTCTCCCTCTCTTCTAACTTCACAGACAGGAAAATGGAGTCAGAGGAGACCAGGAAGTTGCTCACAGCCACGAGGTTAATACTGAGGGCTAGGTCATATTTCCCAGCTTTTCTAAGAAATAGCTGGCTCACACACGTTGGTGAGTTTTAGTAGAGAGTGTCCTAGATTTTAATTTAAAAAGAGAGGGAGATTGGGAATGACATCTGTTCATGTTCTTTCTCTTTCTGCCTCTGTTTCTCGCTTTGTCTCACAGTCTTTGTCTGCCATTTACTCCAGGAATTTTAGAAGAAATATGAACTTTTGGGGAATTTAGTATTAGAGGGGCCCCACTGAAGACAAATTGCCTTGAATATAGGATTTTTCCCCCCATTGCCTAAGTTATACCGTTTTTACTTGCTTCCTTACAAGTACAGATACCTGTGAGCTGGAAGGTTTGTACGATTAATGATGTGGGTTAAAGAAAAGTTTGTCTTCAGGTCTCTATCCAGGTGTGGCAGCAACCCCTAAAGCTGAAGTGAATTTCAGCTGGTATCTCTGTTCCCATTGTTCAGGTCCATGCCATACTGGTTGTCAAATATGTTGACTATTTTCTTTCTTTCTACGTAGTGGCTTTCTCCTTTCTTTTGACTGAAGAATCCATGACCTTTGCTGTGTAACTGATGACTGTATGTCACGTTCTGCATCCAGAGAACACCCTCCTCCCCGTGGTGGGGTCCTTCCTACAACTCCATTTCTTTTGGCTTGTGATCTTGTTGTCAACAAATGAGTCAACATAGATAAGGATGTTAATTTATCCAAAATTGTCTCAGCAGAGGCAGAGGGTGGGGGAAGATGGGGACAGTATTGGCCAATGGCCTATACAAAGGGCCAGACATGACTACTTGGGAACATTGGAATTCTTGCTAACTCTGACCAAACAAAAGGATGCACTGCTGACATTGGGAAACTGTAGAAAGATATGGAGCCAGCTCTAGTCCTTCTAGTATGTGAGTCCTTCCTTGGTTATCAGATTCGAAGGGAGGCTCATTAACTATTCAGTTACTAAGTCTCTTCTCCTTGATTAACTGCCTAGGTAGGGAACCAATTAGTATGACGTACTAGGTTGGAGCCTGAAAAAACTATTTTGCCTCTCAAATACCTGACTCATTCTATATTAGCCTGTTCAATACCCACAAAGTCACACCGTCTTTCAATAAGGGAGAGAAAACTTCCAATAGAAAATTAAGCAGGGCATTGCTTTGATTTCCCCACAGCAGAGGCATCTGGTCTTAAACAATTGCTATAACCTAAATTGCAAAGCATTTCCCCCAAACCATTGAGTTTCAGAATTTAAAAAATGTGTTTGATTGTCAAATTTGCAAATTGGATCGGTTTTCCAGTTTTCCACTGAGGAAGAGGAAAAGGTGGCCATTGGCAGCTGGCGATTGAAATACGATTTTCCCTGGCATGTAAACCTGGCCTATCATCAGTGTGTTATCCTGGCCATGCTTTCCTGGTGCTCCCTGCAACACTGCAGCCAAAGCCTTCCCTTCTGGATGGTTGCTTTCTGGATTATATTGACAATCAGAATAATAATTATTGCAGCCTGCATTTCTGGAGTTCTTCATGGTCTTTAATCTCATCTGAGTCTCAGAAAACTGTGAGAGAGAATTAGGGGTGGTACAATTATTTCCATTTTAGAGACGGGCAAACTTGGACTCAGAGAAGACAATGACTTACACAAGGACACAGTTTCTAGTAATCCCGGATCCTAACCCATACATTGTGTCCCTTAGTCTAGCATTCTTTTGACAACAACACATGGGCATAGAAAAGCCATTAGGAGAGGAGTGTGCACAAAGTAGATTGCCTTGGTCCCCAGACCTTCTAGGGTCGAGATTATTCCATGTGACGCCATACTTTTTAAATGCAAGAATGATTAATCTGGTCACCAAGAAGCTGTTATCATCAGCATTATAAAGGGAATTTTCAAAAATCAATACATAAGGCCAGGTATGATGACTCACGTCTGTAATTTTGGCACTTCGGGAGGTTGAGGCAGGAGGATTGCTTGAGGCCAGGAGTTCAAGACCAGCCTGGGCAATAGAGTGAGACCCTGTCTCAAAAAATAGAAATAAAATAATATGAAAAATTTTTTAAAAATCAATGAATAAGATGAGATATATAATGATACTAATATTCCATAGTATGCATTATAATATGAAATGATACTATAAGATACAACTTACATTTTTATAACCAAGTCCAGCAGTTTTCACACTAATGGATCATAGTCTATTCATAGTCATGAAGTCCATTCAGTGGGTTGCTACCAGAATTAAATTAAAAATGGGGTAAGATACTTTATGATAGAATTGAAAATACCAAAGTACATTGCATGTAGCAAAACTGAAGTGTTCCCTATTCAGTTTTTTTGTTCATAACTTATGTGTACTAGATGACAGTGTTTAAAATATTTCTTACACATGCATCTGCTACCTTTTCCTGTTTACATGTACCATTCTCAGCCTCTCAACCCCCGTTATCCTAATATGATCATCACCCAAAGGTCTGGGCGGAGAATGCTAAGTTATTTCCTTCGTGCTCCTCCGTCCTTTTCTCTCTCTATTGAAAAGGTTCTCGTGTAGGATGACCTTCAAGACAGGGCTTGAGAGTTCTTTCCTTGTTTAAGAAATAAATTGCTGTATTTCTAAACCATCATATTTCCATTTCAGCCCAACCACCTCAAACTTGAAGACATGAAATCCCCAAGGAGAACCACCTTGTGCCTCATGTTTATTGTGATTTATTCTTCCAAAGCTACACTGAACTGGAATTCTGAATCTACTATTCATCCTTTGGTGAGTACACCCATATCTGCTATAATTTTTCTTGTCACATTTCTCAGTTTTGGGAATGTTACAGAATGACAATGGTTCTTTTAAAAAGTTTAGGGAGAAAAATGTTTAGGGAGAGAAGAAAAAAATTCTTCCCATAATTGCAACATAAGAAAAAATGTTGCAAATGAGGAGAAGAGGTGAATATAAACGTAGGTCAGTGTATTTGCTGGGCGACCACTTGCTATGCTCTGAAATAAGTAGTGGTGTCAAGGGAACATCAATGTAACTTCAAGAGAAACCTCCCAGGCTTCCTTCCTTCACTAGATTGCAATCACTAGGCCTGAGGTGTCCAGTCTGTGAAACTCACAACAATAACAACAAAACAGATTTGAAAGATTGAGCAGAATGTATGTTCTCAAAGGATTCATTCTAACTGGGTTATCAGACTAGAACATGCTCCAAAAGACATTAATCTCTGTGTGTGTCTCAATCACAGACTGATATAGCTGAAGGGACCATAGACATCATCTAAGACCTTTGCTGACAAATTATCCAGGTGTTTTTGTCTTTGGAAAGTTAATGAGAGTTTAGCTTAAGTAAAGGGAAGGACAAGTACCCGCTTATTCCGGAAATTTTCAGGCTATTCCTTACTTAGACTTCTCCCTGCATCAAAGGGCATGTTCCTCATTGGAAATCTTTGGAGACTGATGTAATTCTCTCTGTCTCAATTTCTTCATCTGTAAAATGATACTAATAGTAGTACTGATTTTCTTTGATCGTTATGAAAATGGAATTAGTTTATACCCTAAGATGCCCTAGAACAGTGCCTGGCACATAATAAATGTTATTTAAGTGTTTGCTGTTATTATTTCTCTTATTGTAATGGTATTTTCCACTTTTTTGTTTCAGATGTTTCAGTTCTATTTTTTTTGTCAGTCACTGTTGTTAGAGCTTCACTGGTACATTTTTAACATGATAAAATGTCCCTCTTTGCCCTACTTTGTATGTTATATTTTAATTATTTGTCTGCTATTCCAGTTGTCATGTCTGCTTTTGTTTGTGTGCTTGCTTGATTTTTGTCCTTTATTTTTTAAGCCTTTATATCCCACTTTATTATTCCCTTGTAAACAATGTGTGTTTGATTTTTTTCTTTTAAATCAAACTTAAGCAAGTAAATTTGCATCATTTATTCCCATTTGATATCATTTTCAAAATGCTTGCCTGATCTTACCTTTAGGATTTTGTTTCCCGGCTACGCGCTTTCTTCCTATTTCCATTTTTGGTTCTTTCATTGTTTGACCTAGGTTATCTTTGTCTTTTCTTTATTTCTCTCATGACTTGGGGGATATATATGGTGTGTCATCTCTTCCAAACTCCAGTATGCAGGGTACAACCTATACACTCACACACAATAGCCTGCCCATCTAAACAGAGGAGGGAAACACTAAAGCTTCTTGCGAATTCACATAGCAGTGCAGAACTCTGGCTATCCAAGGTAGGTGAGGTAAAAGCCAGGACCTGAGATTATCTCAGCAATGGGGTGAACTTTGCTCTGTTCCAGTGTTTCTTAGTGCTACTGGCTGCAGCAGTGCCTGCCCTCTGTGCCACATCTGCCCTCCTAGCGATGGCCCTGGCAAAGCCCCTTCATCTACCTGGTGGTGAAGGCTGGTCAGGGGAAGCTGACCTCCAAGGGCTCTTGGTAGAATGTGAACTCCATCTTCCTGGAAGCTCCTACCACTCACCCCAAAGGACCCCACTTTTCCTTGCTAGATCTATCCTTCAAGGTATAATGCCTTCCTATAACCCAAAGGCTGAGGACTCCCATTGGAAAAGTGTGCTTGAGGCTGCCTGATCAGTTTACACTGCCCTAAGCTGCCACCCAGTTTCCATGATTGACCTTCTACCATCTTAAATGCAATATGTATGCAACGTGTAGTGATGGGCTTGGTTTTTTCAAATCGTGGTAACCACCTAACATAAAATTTAACGTCTTAAAACCATTTTCAAGCATACAGTTCAGTAGTATTAAGTATATTCACATTATTGTAAATCTAATTTCCATAATTCTTTTATTTTGCAAAACTCAAACTTTATGCCCATTTGACAGTAACTCCTCATTTCCTCCTCCACTGACAGCTGCTGGTACCACTATTCTAATTTCTGTGTCTACAAATTTGGTGATTCTAGATACCTCATGTAGGTGGAATCACAGAGTATTTGTCTTTTTGTGGCTGGCTTGTTTCACTTAGCATATTGTTCTCAGGGTTTACCCATTATAGAATTTCTTCCCTTTTTAAGGCTGAATAATGTCCTGTTTTATGTATGTACTGTATTTTGTTTGTCCATTCATCCATCCATGGACATGAGTTGCTTCTACCTCTTGGCTGTTGTGAATAATGTGCCTATGAACATGAATATACACATGTGGGGTGAAGGCCTTTTAAAGGGTGGTGATGTAGCCCAGTGCTTCTCAAACTTTCATGTGTGCACAGATCTGCCCAGAGACCTCGTTAAAGTGCAGAATTTAGCTCAGTATGCTTGGGTGGGGCCAGGATGTTGGCTTTCACACACGCTGCCCTGGCTCATGCTCCAGTGACCACTCTTAGAGTTACAGGCTGTGCATACTCAACTTTGATATCAGGCCTGAGTGGAAGCCCAGCTTTGACTCTCATTAGCTTTCGAAACTTTGTCAACTTTCTTCATTTCCCTGAGCCTGTTTCCTCCACATAAAATAAGACTAAATCATATCTCCTTCATTTGTTTGTTGTGAGGCTTAAATGTCCTACATGTAAGCCGCAGCACGGTGACTAGCACAGAGCCCAAGTGCTTATGAATTTGCAGTTATTTTTAACATTCTAGTATTAGGCTGGTGCACAAGTAATTGCAGCTTTTGCAATTACTTTGAATATAAATAAACCCCTCTAAATATACTTACATGAGGAGATACTGCTAGAGGACTCTTGCTCAGACAGTTTTCTAACACAGTAGAAAAGATGTTAAATTGGAGGTTTCAGGTATATGGCAGGGCTCGAGTGAGTAGGGGTAAGATTTGAGAAAGCAGGATCCTTTGCTTATCACCTCGTTTGCCATCCTGCTCCCTGGGAATTTTCTTCTTCATGAATAAAAAGCCATCTCTCATTCCTGACTGATTACCTACCTCCACTCCAGGCCGCCCTGCCCCATTGCCACAACAATTATGTGTGAAGTCATCATGTCCGACAGGTGGGGCACTTCCTGGAATTGGTGACCTTGTCTTTTCCGGCTGAAGCTTGGCCTTCAGGAAATTCCTTCTGGACAGCACTGTCCACTGTGGATCAGACAGTCCTCTGGACACCTTCACACAGATGGAGCAGGCACGGGGAGGTCCAATTGGAAGCTCTGTTTCCTTGTCTGAAGTAAACACACTGCCGAGCCCTGGGAGCCCTGGCAAGCCTATGCTCCCTTGTGAGTTCTACCCAGCACCCAAAGTGTGAGAGGAAGGGCAAGTGCTGGAGTCCCACAGTTCCCCAAGCTGGGATGACATGAGGACTCAGGATGGTAAGGCTGGTCCCCAGTGAGTCCAGGCCAGCAGATAACACAGCATACACCACAACCAGAGACTGCACTGAGCACCCGATGTGCCTCAGCACTTAGTATTTTTCATAATGTAAGAAACAGAGGATTAGAGGGAATGAACGACTTCTCCTGAGAATCTGAGACTGTGGGATTCAGTTCTTGGTGTGACCATTTGCTCCATTCAAATCCAGGTCCTGTGACTTAGTAGCCAGCTCTTTGTACCTCCTTGAATCTGGGGATGGTCAAGGGCTTTTGACCCCATTTCCACACCAGCTCCTCAGAGGGCTTTATTGCCATCAGTGTGCTTTTTCCTCCATCATCTCTGATGTTTGCAGGGCTTAAAATAAGAAGTAGGTTGTTCTCATTGGACAACAAAGAGGCTGTAGGTAACAGAGCTGTGAGCTGTGCAAGCAGCACTTTGCAAAGATGTGCCCTGAAGGTTCCAGATGATCACTATAAAGATTCAGGAAATCTTCAAAAAGTAGTATTTCCAAAAGATGGACTCATGTCAACAGATGCGCTGGTTGAAAAGGTGGTTTCCTGCACCTCACCCCAGACCTACTGAATCACACTGGGGGCAGCAGAGACAAGCGATTCTATTCTCACAGAGAGATGAGAGAATTGCTGCATGAGAGAACTGAAATATACCTTGATTTTAACACGTAACTGACAAGACAAGAGGCAAGACCTCTCTGCTTTAGTCCTATTGAAAGCAGAGAGAATGAAAACTCGACCTGGGAGAGCTGCCCAAAGGTGACCACTGGTGGTCATATTCTCCTGTGCTAACTGAGTCCTCTTACTGCTGCCTTGAAGTGTGAACAGAGAAAGCTCCCAGTGGCCACTTCCTCCTCCCTACCAGGCACCAGAGAGGATGGAGGCAGGAAAGCAGGGAGAACCTTCCTTTTGTCTGGGAACAAAGCCAAAGCATTCTCCAGGGGAAGCTGGGCCGGAACCAGCCCTATACATTGACTTTGCACCTTCAGTTCCTGCATTCAAGTACCTCTAAAATAACTTCCCTGTAAATAAAGCAGCAACTGGGCTTTTGAAATTCCAATCATCATCCGTCATTCCTCTATTAATTTGTTCAAGAACATTTATGAACTATCAAGTGCACAGTCCCTCCCCATTTCCTACTGACTTTAATACATTCCTCAACCAGTACCTCCTAAGGGCATCAGCAAGGGGAGCAGGTAAACCTAACATTGAGTGGTAAATTGCTGACTTCTGATCTTTTCCTAAAAATGTAACTTAGTAAGAGGAGGGAGACCAGCCAAGGGAACTATTAACTGGAACGGAGGAGGGAATAGAAAGAGGTTATAGAGACAGAGAGAGAAGCAGTGCTGGGTAGAGAGACCGGCTCCCTGAGACAAAGCCAGTTTCCCAGGTCTCTGCTGATAAGGTGATGCAGTGCCTACGTCGACAAGTGCAGACTCTGGAGCTGGCTGGGTTTGAATCCTAGCTCTGCCATTGAAGTCTGTGTGACCATAGGCAAGTTACTGGACCTCTCTGTGCCTGTACTTTCTTATTAGTGAAAGGTGGATAATAACAGCATCTACCTCTTAGATTGTCCCGGCACAGGATGTTAAATACATCTTAGGAAGTATTATGTTTGTCATTGTGATGATGTGAGATACCTAGAAAATAGTGGTAGACAACCCTGATGGCAGAATGAGCTCTGCCCCAGGTGGCGGTCATGGACATGTAGAGTTTGTGGTAAAGCACAGATCTCTGTGGTCAGGGGTTATCTGGCAGACTTCAGAGAGGCGGGGCTTTTCTGCTGAGTGTGAAGGGAGTTTGAGGTGGAAAGCACATCACAGGAAAACTTGCAGGCAGGCAGGGACGAGCTAGGAAATCCATGTCAGGTCAAGATATGGTACAGGCTGTGTTACCAGCTGCAGAACTGGTGGTGAGCCCATGAGTGAAAGTGATCAATGCTTATTCTTTAACAAAAAAACTACATGATGAAGGAGATGAACTTCACAGAAGTGCACCAGGTGGCAGGTGCAGCATGATGCCCCAGAACACCTTGATGACCCCTCTCCGAATAGCATTTGCCATATAACCAAAATTACTGTCAGTGCTTTGCATCAATTAAACATTTGGTTCTCGCAACAACGTTCTGAGATAAGCTATATTCATCTGCATTCGGTAGGTAAGGACTGAGGCACAGAAAGGTTAGCTGATTTGCCCAAGGTCACACAGTAATTTTATGATGGAGCTAGGATTTGAACTCAATGTCTGCAGAGTCCTTACTTTTAGTCACAGCACGGTGTCTTAATAGCTAAACTGTATTAAGAGCTCACTGTATGCCATACTGTAGTTTGCTTAGTTCTCATAACAATCCTATAAAATTGATACTGTTATTATTCCCATGGTACAGGAAAAATAAAACCCTAAAGCTCAGCAAGAATATGTAACTTCTCCAAAGTCACAAAGCCATAGAGTAAGTGGCACACTGTTGTACCCAGGCAGTCTGACTCTAGGGCAGGCTCTCTTAGTTCCTACTACAGAAACCAGCAATAGAACCATCCAGGAGAAAAAGGATCAGAAGCAGAAGAAATAATTTCTAAGCACACCCAATGGTTAAAGAGCCCTACTACAGCAGAAAAATTGAGGTGGGGACAGGCTGAGTGCTAAGAAGGAGGTCGTGAGACTTGTCTTGAAGGTCACTGGGATGATTCATAGTTCGAGTCAGGCAGAAAGTACAAGTTTAGAACATTATAATCATTTATATTTCTTGACAGGATTCAACCTACAGGAACTCTGAGAAAGTCAGATATGGTGATTTCTTCTGCTCTTGCTCTAGAGACTGGTCTAAAAAAAAAATGAATTCCTAGGTCACACTGCAGTAGCAACTCTACTTCATTTTCCAAACCATTTCATTGCTGTTGCCTGGCATCCACGGGGCACATGGTGCTGACCCGAAATCTGCAGCCTTAAGCTCAGCTCCAACATTTAGGGCTATCTAAGCAGGGAACCATGGTGAAAAGACTTCTCTAGCATTAACAACTTTCTCAAATGTTCTTTTCAGCGTCTTCATGAACAGGAACTAGCTGGTGAAGAGGCATTGAGGCAAAAACCAGCCGGTATGTAAACTCTGGCTTGGCAATCTCTTTTATAAGTCTGCTCAAATGATATGTGTTGCAACTTTTTAAAACATTGTAGCATACACAATTCAGTCTCCAAGGGCATCAGGGTCATATAGTACAGCGTGATTTGCAAAAGTAATTACTAGGAAGCTCCATTCTCTACCAGATGAGAGTAACTGGGTCATAGCAACATGTAAGAACTCCCTTCCCTCCCCATCACCATCACCGTTCCTTACATTCCTAGGATTTTCCTGTGGCTCTCTCCTCAGCTGCTCTCCTGTGTCACCAAACAGCCTACTTCTCTCCCCAGCATCCAGAAGCCTTTCTTTTTGCCTTTACAAGAAAAGTTATTTCACTCAGGACTTTATCTTTTGAAGCAATCTAACCACAAGGCTCAAGTCCTCCTCCTCTGTTTCCCACTCCAATTTTCCCACCCGCCTCTAAAGCGGGTGGTCTAGAAAATACAAGACTCAGCCCTTTGGAGAGTTAGAGGCAGGTGAAGAGCTGTGAATACTGACACAGCCACCTTCAAATCCCATCCTGGGTGGACCCTGCGCAGATGTCAGGGAACAACTGCAGGCTGGGTGTTCCCAGGACTGATACTCATGCTCCCAGCACAGCAGCCCTTCAAAAGCACAGATCCGATCCTGTCGTTTCCCTCCCTAGAACTCTTCATGGTCTCCCTTGGCCTTGGAACTAAAAGCCAATCATCTGCTCGTGACTCACCAGGCCTTCTGTGCATTTCCCACCTGATCTCCTGTTCCCTTTCACTGCATCAACACCCTGCCCGTCGTCACCCTTTGTTTACCTGGGAGACTCCCACTGAAGTCTCAAGGTCTATGAACTCCGGCCCTGTTAAGCCTCCCATCCATTCCCCAGAGCATCAGGGATTGCTTTTCCTGGGTTCCCATTTCCCTTGACACGTATCCATTCACAACATTTGTCCCAAAGCACTGTAATTATTTTACTTCCTATTTGCCACCCCCAGTAGAGGAGCACTTACTTGAGTTCTCCTTATCTCTGTAGCCTGGCATCAAGCCCAGTTTCTTTCTCAACCAGTGAGCAAACAGATGAAGCACTTGAACGTTCACGTTACAGCTACACCTTTCTCAATTCCTATTGGGAAGTGTCTGCTGGTTGAGTGGCCGTACCAACCTTCTAGAAAGAAAAATGTTTTACCCTGTCACATTGTGATGGAATCATTTCTTCAGGCATGTGTGACTTCATCTAGTCAGTCTAAGAGAAATAGTAGGTTGCCCAAGAAGGCAGGGTTACCCTGAGGTCGGAGTGGAGGCATCTGTTAGAGCCTTTCACAGTGCAGTGTCCAGTGCTTGAAATGAGAATTTGACCACATTTTATTAAGCTCTTAAAATACTGATGGGAAGATCATACCACTGTTGGTTTTCCTCTCTCCCTTTCTCTTCCCCTTCTTTTCTTTTCTATTTCAGCCTTCGTTTTGTTAGCCCTGTGGGATCCACCCTCCCTTTCTCCCTCCTTCCTTGAAGTGACCTATAGCACAATCTGTATGTTCCATGCTCTAAAACAGGTATCATTATCTCTACTCCATCCTGACAAACCCTTAAACTTTTCTGCACCCTATGACAGGAACAGAGCCAGGAATGTGCTTATTTGCTATTTTGAAAGACTTTTGCCTTTTAAAATCAAACTACTAGCCAGTGAATTGCAGCTCCAGGCTTCTGCCAGGTTCTTCTAGGGCTCAGGCTGCCAGCTTCCTCAGGAGCAGTGGGTGACTACAGCTGTAAAAGGAATGTCTTCCTGTTCTTCTGAGCCAGGCTGTTTATGACCCACGGTGACACTGTGAGAGGGTAGCCCTTGGGGAGGAAACCATTTCTACATCTAAGGATTTGATATTCCAAAATTTTTCCAGGTGTGATTTCATTAAAAACAATCATGATGACATTAAATCACCATGAAAACATGTTTTTTATTTATTATACATGGCCCTCTGTGTTCTCAGGCGGCTAGAGTCATTTGGGAAGTGTTAATGAATCAACCTATCATCTGCAGAAGATGGATTGACCTTGGTACTTTTACAAAATTGCGGAAGTAAGAAATGGCCATAGAAAGGCCCAGGCACTAGGCCCCAGATATCCAGAATGTTAGTTGCAGTTAAGAAGATGACTCTCCAGGAAAATGATGAAAGGAAGCCACAGGAAACGTTACCTTCAACAGGACGCCACATGGAGTTGTGCGTTCTGCTCGGTGTGTTCGTTAAGCGAGGTGTTAGAACTGAGCTCTGATTTTCATGGTGCGATTCCCTTTCACGTACACATACCTCTCCCTTTCTGAAGCCTGGATGTCACAGGGAGACAAAGCTTCTAAAAGAAAAAAAATTAGGTCAGGAATTTTTTTTTGAGTCACCGGACCAAATCTTTAGCATTTGGAATAGAATCATCTTTAAAGATGGGATCAATATTTATATTTATTCTCAGCACACCATGAATTTCTACCCAAGTGACTGGTCAGTTACGTAACCTAACTGTCCCTTTGAATTTATATGTGTGTATATATACACACATACATATATGTGTGTGTATACATGCATGTGTGTGTATATATGTATACGTGTGTGTGAGTGTGTGTGTGTGTGTATACTGTTGTCCTTCTTTTGGCATCTAAGGGGTTGGTTCCAGGAACCCCTCAGATACCAAAATGTGCATATGCTGAAGTGTCTGATATTAAATTGTGTAAATTTGCATATAACCTATGCACATCCTTGCATATATTTAAAATTATCTCTAGATTATTTATAATACCTCGTGCAATGTACATGCTATGTAAATAGTTGTACTGTACTTTTTAAGTAATAGCGACAAGAATAAAAGTCTGTACATGTTCAATATGGACAAAATATTATATTACACATATATGTATCACATATGTATGTCACATTTACATACACATACATATCTCAGAGTTATTACCTTATTGGGTTGTTAGGAAGATTAAATAACGTTATGTTAATATTACTTTAAAAATGTTAATTGGATTATCTGGTGTTTTTTTTTTCCTTTTAATAGTTTTTTTTAATAAATTTAAAACAAAGAAAATCGGTTTATTTATAAAATAGTATTGCATTTGAAAGGGCCTGATCTACCTCCAGTCCAGCAAAGATATTCTGTACCAGTCACATATAACCACTTGAAAGCAGGGACACAGATGCTGTGATATAGGCGTTGGCATTTTAGGAAAACTTTGTCAAAATTCTGTAGGGAAAAAGGCATGCACAATACCCAGAGGCAAGAAAAAGCATGGAGCTGCTTAGGACAATGAGTGGCTGTAACAGATCAGAGGGAAATAAGAATGTGGGAAAGATCCTGAGTCACATCAGGATTCCATCAGGAAGTGAATTCTGGATCAGCTGATGGGCTGGCACAGAGAGGTGACTGATGAATGCCCCTAAGTGAAAAGTATTTCAAAGGTTATGGTTAAATAAATTACATGAAGAAATTAGTGCCTGGGAAACCAGCCAAGAGGCTCGGCAGTCTGGACACGCAACCCTGGCCATGGAGTGAGATAGAAAAGAAGCAGAGGAAATGCTCGCTGAAGACATTTTGAAAAACACAGCAAAAGGGTGTGGACAGGTGTCACTTGAGAATGAAGGACTGCAATAATCCCTGTGACTCTTCAGGAGAGCACAAACTTGGAAGACAGTGCTTTTGGAAGGTCACAGGTAAAGGCCAGAGTTCAAAATAAAAGCTTGTTCTGGAGGTTTGCAGATAAGCTCCAAACTCAGTCTTAAGGGGACTTTTCACAGGCGACTGAAAGTGGATGTTTCTTAATGGTTAGAAGTCGGCTGGCCGAGTTCTCCACTCCAGGTTTCTGAGAGTAATTGGGAAGGGGGCGTGTCTTGGAGCCTGGTGCTCCAAGAAGAGTCCCGATTGATTACTCTTTGGCTTCAAAGGAATAACTAATGAGAGACAAAACAGCAAGAGAGGGAGATTCAGGATGTCCAAATGCTGCACTGGATACACTCACATTTTCACATCTATTTAGTCAGAGTAAGGTTCCTCCCAGATTGGGTCTCTGGCTGCCAGAGTGGAAATCCTGCCCTTTCTGTAGGCCTCGCAGCCTGGGTGTGCTGGCCCTTTTTGGTCTGGGTCCAGGAAATGCCGTGCATTTCCCAGGTTGAGGAACAGATTTTTGGATTGTCATGGCTGTAGTCTTTCTGGTGATGACATGTGGGCCTGAGTGCTCCGAGCCAGCAGTGGTGGTGGTGGAGTGAGATTAAAGACCTGGTGCTCTCAGCTGGTGTGTAGGGTAGGTTTTAAGCTTGACATTTAATGTTGGGAGTGTTTTGTTTTTTAAAAAATTTTCTGATTAACGTTTTTCTGTTTTGTTTGTTTGTTTAACTCTCCCAAAGGTGAAGCCTGATGTGAATAACGTGAACATTTCTTGACCTATCAGCACACATCTACATAGAACATAATCATATATTTATGATAATCAGAATTACTATTTTACTGGCAACTATACGCCAGACACTTCGTTAGGGGTTTTCACGTACAATTCCAGCTCTTTAGCAATAATCCTGCAAAGCAAATACTACCTTTCATTTACAGATAAGCAAAGTGTGGCTCACAGAGTTAAATGACCTGCGCAGGTCAGAAGGCATTCCTCCCCCATTCTCTCTGGCTCCAAAGTCCATGCTCATAGTTATGACTTATAGTTTTCAACATGTGTTCCTGGTTGACTCATGAAGTCCCATTTCATGATTCTTGGAGCAGCTGTGAAGAGTAAGGAAGACTGGTATATCTGCCTTCATCTTACTAGGTAAAATGGGGCTAACTTTGATGATTTGGGTATATGGATGGCTAGTAGAATAAATTCTCTTCCCTAGGCTTCACAGTCTGGTATTTGATGACACAGTGCTGCCCACTTTCTCCTCAATCTACACCTGCCACGTAGCCCATAGCCTTGGGTTCTGATTATTTTCTCCTTTGTGAATGACTCTTTCTGAAACCTGAAGAGAGAAT